CGGCTGTATAACTAACGTGAAATTCCCTAACGGCTAGGAGATATTTCACGAAAGGAAAGCATTTAATGCTCATTTAATGAGCCTGATACGCTGTGGAGTAATTGCAGATGATTGACCGAGATTCCTGGAGAATATTATACAAAAATAGAAACCTGCCAAATATGCGGGTCCAACCAGTCAACTCCACAGTACGCGCATTCAATGCAGTTGTCTCCTCCTCCAACGGGTAGACAACCTCAGTATAAAAGGATACTCGATGAAGAACAAAAAGTATAACTTTGCTACAATCCTTGCTAACACTTTCTTGAGATTCAAATTCTAATTCCATCAACAAGAAAAGCAAACGTTGGGAAGATCTTCAGTTCATATCCTTACATCCAACAAAAGCAAAGTTCCTACAGTTCTTCAACACTTCAAGAACTTCATCAACAAATCTTCTGTGACGAAGCTAGTTGGAGAAAAACTCTGTTTTTCGAAACATCTTCTGCAAAGAAGGGCGTCCAATTAATTGGAGTAGTGAAGTGGTAATACTTCCGACAAGCTCAGTGAAAGGACCAGCCATCAGGAAGCGGAACTGCATCCCGGCTGGCAACTAGACTTGAAGAAGACGTGGAGTGCTTCTTAAGTGCTAGGGACTAAGGCATTGTAACTGTTGAATTTACAAGCTTAGTGGAACAGTGGACTAGAGGAACGCGTTGTTCCTTGAACCACTATAAAAATCCCCGGTGTCATTTACTTTACTGCGTTTAATTTCTTCACTTAGGATTCTAACTGTATAACTCTTAAAAAAAACTTGGAATATGTGTTCAACAGATCTTGTGTTAAGAGTTATCAGAAATGCCTTTGCCTTAGTGTTTTCTTGAGGCTATCTTGACAAAACCTTAATCCGCTGCTTGGTCTAGTTCAGCCATCAGAACTCGACCATCTCTGTCATCAGATTTGGACCACCTCTCATAAGTCAATATTGACTTAGAGTAGAAATCTGAAAAATCAGAGCAGTCTATTCACCCCCCCCCTCTAGACTGCTTCATACTCAAACGGGACCAACACCATGTCCAAAGATGAATTGAAAAAAGAGTGGTAGTATATTTCCCCAGACTTAATTCCTCCTCTTGGTAATTATTACGGAGTATTGTATTGTTTGATGAACATTTAACCTCACATCAACTCATCATTACATCATTACATATGCACATCAAGACCCTGACTCTTCAATGAAAAACTCATTTTAATTGTCAATGACTCTCATGTCGCTATATATACACAAGCTAAAACTAAGTGGCTTACTTTTAGGTTCTTTTGATTTCTCACCTCCAAAAAATCTATAACTTGTTCCGCAACAATTCTTCTAGGCTACGACAGAAATGTTGTCGTTCCTTCCACAATTGAAGCCTTCAATCCTCACAGGAGCTGGTTTATACCACACCCTCCTTGCGAGGGTAGTGGTGGTGGAGATGATGGTGGTGGACTGACAGTGGTGCTATAGCTTCTAGAGTTTGTGTTAACGGGTCAAAAATATCATGCCCAAATTACGCATCTTAAATTAGCGGATTAGAAGCCCTGACTGGTGGTGTTCCTGAGAAAAATGGAGGAGGCGATGAATCTGTCTGGAAACTGGCCCTGCCTTCACCATAACTGCAAGCCTCCTTGGTGGTGTTCCAGAAGTTTAGTTCCAGATTCCGAATCAGAAGCCTTTTTCCATTGACCGAATTGCAGATAGCAGGAAGGTTTGATGGACTGAATCGCATCAAAACCAGAGGGTCAATTGAAGGATACACTGACTATGTGGGGTTTGGGGCAAGCGACACCGTTGGAGAGAGCAATGTCTACTCCTCTTGAAGCCCTCATCCAGGATCTAAGCATGGCGCGCATGTAGAGCATAGAAAGTCGCAAGGCGAGAGTTCTCTCTTGTGTTGGCTAAGACCAGAAGCTTCTTTGTGGACCAGAAGCTCAAGCATTTACCTGTTAGCGGCACAACACAGAAACTATGTGAGCTGTCGGGTGAGGTTGCGGGCACGAAGGAAAGTAACTGTGTGATAGCAAGGTTAGGAGCGAGAGTTCTCTCTTGTGCCCTGAGGGTGACTATGGGGCAAATTCACGGCATCCAGCCAGCCAGCCAGCCTCCCTCCCTCAGAGCCCTCATCCACAAACGTAAATGTTATGATGTGGTGACTCTGGCAGATCAGTTGTCAATTCATAAACTTGATGACTAGTACTTGGTTTTTCATTTTGTTTAAAGAACATGCACAATGATGCCTGCATTTTCTTCCTCGCCAGAGAAGTAGCTTAATCTGTGTACAACACTGTCCATTTTAGTAGCTGTGTATAAGCTGAAGTTGCATGACCTTGTGTACAAAAGTGTCCATTTATAAGCTTTGTGCATACAGTAGATAATTGTGCCTTTCTTAGGTTGAGCCACTTCAGATTCCTCTGACAGATGTCTGGTAAACCTTTGCAAATCATCTGTGTCATCTCCTCAAAACATAATCATCAGTATAAAATCTTCTTTGAGGATTACTTCTGATCACTCAGCACACAATGTATGATTATTTTGATAAAACAACATTTCAGTAGAAGATTTAGGAGAGTGATATGACTGGTTGATGTGCTCAAATACGGTCAATTGATTTTACTTTACTGCCTTCATTAACTAATATATGTCAAGATTCAATAAAATCAGGTGCTTATGTTTCACTTGATGGTGTTCTTTTATGCTTTCCATAATCTTATAGCGGAGAATGTATCCGTTTTGGTTCCCATAACGCGACTCCAGACTCGTTTCCATGAATTCTCAAAGAACATTTAGTACAACAGATCCGACTAAACAACCCAACTTACAACTATCTGATGTAGCAAGTCAATACTCATTAGCTGAAAGATGTGGGCAGTGGGAAAAAACATCTGTCTAGACCTGAGAGTTCCCAATGATGATCATGTTCCTTGGCTGCCAAACTGAGACGCGATGGCCAAGATTTATGGCTCACAAGCTCACACCCGAACCCCTTTACCATTACGATTCTCTTGATAGCTTGTTTGTTATAAAGGAGTGTTTAGGAGTACACAATTGTTGTTCGAAACAGTTTTAGGCCACACAGGCATTTTTACTTTACGTCTCAAAAAATCATAAGCTGCAGCAGTGTTGAACTTTGTTACTTGCAAGCCTTGATAGTTAGGCTTGGGTTTTTGGTAAGCTAGGCCCGGCATCATTCTACAAGCTAATCAACCCCAAATTACTTTCCTCAATAGTGCCCTGAGGGAGGGAGGCTGGCTAGATGCCGTCCAAGGCAGTTTAATTCGTTGATGTCAAATTAGTTTCATATGTTTTGTACGTTAACCTTTCCTTCCATTCCATTTTTAGTTCTAGTACTTTTTTAACCCCTGCCTTGGCTTGGACCCGGTTCGGGCCACCCTGCCTGGGAACCGGACCGGCCCGACACTGCTTGGGCCCGGCCTGGCCCGGCCCGGGAAACCGGGTACCGGTTCCGGGTCATGACCCGGTTTTTGGGGTATCCGGGCGCGGGTACGGGCTTAGGGAAAGGTGAACGGCCCGACTGGTTCCGGGCCCGGTTCGGGCCATTTTTCTTTTGGGTTGGGTTTAGATGGGCTGGGCTGGGTGTTTCCGATGGGTTTGGGGGGTAGGGGATGAAATAATAGTAAAAAACAAAAAAAAATAGAACTGGCCCCGGCCCCGGCCCGGAACCGGTGGTAACCCGGGCCGATCCCGGGTCTTCACCCCAACCTTCAAAAGCCCGCCGGGCCTAGGCCCGACCCGGACCCGGCCCGAGTTCAAGCCTACCCCTGCCGGATGCAGTTTCCAAAATATAGAAGTCAGTTTTTCAAACGATATACATAGTCATAAAGAAGTTAGTGTTAAACATGCTAGATCAAGGTTGCACTTTTACTTGCCCAACGAAACAATTTCGAACTTATTAGTTAAAAATCACCCTCTCTTTTAACCAAGTTATCGATGCATCTTTGACATGGTTAGAATCATAGGATCTCAAGCCCCATGCTAATGGAAGATGACTTTTTTCTTTTTTATATTTGAACAAATAATGAATGTGTGGTTAGAATTTTACCATGAAGTCAACCCCTTTTTATCACATGGAGTACAATGCTAATGTGTGGTTAGAATTTTACCATGAAGTCAACCCCTTCTCATGTGATAAGTACGACTCTAATCAATTTGGCTAAATACTGTCACTTGGAAGAGCACAAATAAATATGACAAAGTTAATATACCACATGAATATGATAAAGTTACTAAAACTATAGTTCCATGATCACTACAACATAAAATCAAACATAATCATCGCTATTAATAGTTACTAATATAGTCACTTTGTACATGAGATCACATTTTTGTCCATTAATTAAGCTGTGTAAAACATCTGAATATGTAGATGCGGGTTTGATTTCACAATACGTATATCAAAAACTGGAATTTCAATTCCGTCAATCTATATATTACTCCGTATAATATTTAGTTAGTAATGACATTCTCTTTAGATTTGATTCTTTCCACTTTACTACTTTAATATTTGAAAAATGCTTGATATACACATTTTGGTGTACACCTTTTGTACATTCGTCTGTCTCACGCACAAACAATTGTATGTCCACAGACAACTCTACAGTTTATCTGTGGAGAAACAATTGTTTGTGCGTAAGACAGACGAACGTACGAAAGGTGTACACCAAAATGTGTACGCCGTTTATATTTTTCTAACATTTGTACTAAAACTCTATCAGTCTACCGTGTATTACTGTGTATAGAAACAATATTTTTATTCCTTTGAAAGTTTAATTACGAGGCATAATGAAAATTAGTCTTTAATTACTACTTTGGTCTTTGGGTAAAATCTCACATAACATTTCCTCAATGCGGCCAACACTTGAAATACTAGTGTCCCTACTTGCATACCCAAAAATAACTATAACTAAACCAAAGATAATAATCCGAGCCTGGGGTTGCTTGATCAACGGCTCATGCATCACACAGTATTTATAAATACGCATATATTCCTCATAAAAATGAGTGCATATATACTGGTAAAGACTTTCATCTTCATCTGCAAAAAAAATGATGCTCCGCTGCAAGGGGAAGGCTGATGACCATGAGTGCAAAAAGTTACTCTGGTTCTCAATGTAGAAGTGTGTGATTACAATCACTCTTTGGAGAAAACTAGTCTATGTGTTGGAAACCTTCATGGTACATTTAAAGATCATCATCATAGTATAAAATATTGAACAGAATTGAAGTTTTTAACTGTCTGTTTTTGTTTGTAAATGTAGAGTTGGAGAAGATTGAATCTTTAAAGATAGAGAGAGATGGCTTCATATATAAGATAACAATTGTGGGTAAAGTTGATCCCTTGAAGATCTTGGAGGAGATGAAGAATAAACTTGGAACCTCAGTGAATCTCGTTTCTGTAGTTGATGAGGAGGACACGGTAAAACTAATTAACCCAGAAAGATTTCACCTTTTATCATATAATCCGTAATTTTTATTATCATTATTGTTCTAATTGGTGGTCTAATTTTTTATTTCTACATATATAGCCTATAAATACCCAGTTCAGATTGAATCTGGCTTGCAACAGAAGTGTCAAGACAGTTCTTAACGTTGTGAGCAAAAGCAAAGGTAAATTAAATCTCTTTTATCATTTGATTCCCCCGAATTACAGTCAACAATTGGTTTATACTATGTTTAATAAGATTTGAATTATCAGAAAATCAATACCCTGTATTTTTTACTATTGGTTCTGATGTCTGAATTGAACATTATAAAAAAAGATTACAACTTTTCAATTCTTGATTCCAAGCATATTATATTCCTAGTAGCTTAGCTGTAAACAAAGATTTCAACTTTTACATCTTTTTGAAGGATTTCAAGGGATAAACATAGAGAGGACGAAGAATTTGGTGACTGTGAAAGGGGAAAATGTGGAAACAGAGAAGCTGAGGCTGACTCTGCAGAAGAAACTGAACAGTGCCGTGGAGGTTATTGTGCCGCCGCCGAATCAAGAAGCTAAGAAGGTTTTCGCCGCCGTGCCTCAGCCTCACTGGGCGGAGTGCGGTGGCCCCAGTCATGATGATCAGGAGGTCTGTGGGATCATGTGATTATGGTTCCAGATCAAAGGTCAAAGTTGCAGTTCATATACTTCGATTTTAGTAAAGATAAGAACAGCCACTACATACCAAGTATACTCCTTTAGGACCTTTAGGTGTGTTTATATGAAATATAAAAGAAAAATGAAGATATAATTAAAGAACATATCCAGCCAGAATCTCTTTAGAGAGGCCGGCTTGAAACGCTTATACAGTCTACTAATCCTTCACATGAATTAACTTAGGGTACGAGTTTAAGAATGACTAACCTTATGTTAACATTAAAATAGTGTGTAGTAAGTGTACTATTTTTTTTTTTAATTCAAAGGCACTTGCCCACTTGGATCCTATATGATCAAATAGGAGGTCATCTTAATGAGAAAATTTTGTTTCTAAAGTGTATGTGGTTCCGATTTCCGAAGATTGGGTCAATGATGTGGTGGCTCTTTGATGAATAAGACGACATTTTTTTTTGCAAACAATAAGGGTTGGTTTGCAAATCCTTTTAAAAAAGTACTTCTCAGCTTTTGGCTTTAAAAATAGCACTTATTTTCCCAAACACTACAACTTTTATTTTTCTCGGCTTCCGCATCAAAAGTGCTTTTACTTTTTCTATTACACAAAAAACACTTATTTTACCAAACACTACCGACTTTTACTTTTCAAAATCACTTTTTTCTCAAACACTATCAACTTTTATTTAACCACTTCTCCCCATTTCATTAAGGGTCTGTTTGCAACAGCTTCTACTTTTAAAAAAAGTGCTTTTTTTTATGAAATGGGGAGAAGTGATTAAATAAAAGTTGATAGTGTTTGAAAAAAAAGTGATTTTGAAAAGTAAAAGTGGGTAGTGTTTGGTAAAATAAGTGATTTTTGTGTAATAGAAAAAGTAAAAGCACTTTTGACGCGGAAGCCGAGAAAAATAAAAATTGTAGTGTTTGGGAAAATAAGTGCTTTTTTAAAGCCAAAAGCTGAGAAGTGCTTTTTTAAAAGCAGTTGCAAACCAACCCTAAAAAAAGCACTTTTTTAAAAACAGAAGCTATTGCAAACAGTCTCTAAGACGACATTTTTATTATCTTGAAAAGTATAATATTTCAATTTAAAAGTGCACTATAGCGAGGCATGAGTTAAAAGTTCCCATTTCTCATTTAAAGCATCCTTTCATTTGAATTGTACATTGATTCGTAACTTTTTTGTAAGTACTCTCTTCTTTTTATTAAACTTCACTCTTTGACTTCACACAAAATAAGGAAATAAATTTGACTTTACTGTTGAAACACTGTTTGACACTGTTTGGCACCATTGAGACACTGTTTGCACTGTTGAGACACTGTTTGACATTGTTTGGCACTGTTTAGATGTAGATTTCTTTGCCAAAAAAGGAAATAAGGAAGTGTGAAGTTTATTTTAGACCGTCCCAAAAAAGAAAGTGTGAAGTTTATTAAAAACCGGAAGGAGTAATTTTTAATTTTTGCAATGGCTTCTCATTAAGGCAACCTTTGTTTTGTACGTCGTGTACATTTGTGTTTGATATGTTTTTGCTGGATGATGAAGAGCCCGTTTGGTAGCACCAAAATCGGCTGTTTTGGCTGATTCTGCTGAAATTTATGATATTCTGGCTGGAGTGACTGTTTTGGCTGATTCTGCTGATTTAAGAAAAAAATATTTTAAAAATATATTTTATTAATAAATTAAAGAAAAAATTATATGTAAAAATAGCTAAAATGGTCCTCTACAGTAACTTCAGCCAATACAGCCAGAAAAGTAACTCCAACCTTACTTTTTCGGCTTATTACACAATTCAGCGCGCGAAAGTAAAAGTTACGTGTTTGGTGAAAAAGCTGGCTGATAAGCCTGATAAGCCGAAAACAGAGTTCTCCAAACGGGCTCGAAAACTAGATAATTTTTAATATCTATTGAATATTTTCAACTACGAGTCTGAATATATAGACAAGCCATTTTCCTAGTCAGTTTTTTCAAGTACGTAAAAGGCAAAAGAGAATTGACATGGTATTGGTCACCAAGCTAGGGATGAGCCACTGCTTCACGTTTTGGAGCGTAGGAGGCTTAAAAATCACCGAGGTGTATTGACTAGGATATTGGGTTGCAGGCCTGGTACCAGCCCGGGTTTCTACCGGGACCGGGTCGGGCCGGTCATTTTTAAAAAAAAGGGGGGGGGGGGGGGGGACGACCGGTCACCTATTTTCTAGACCCGTAGCCCGCCCTCCCCTATACCCGGTTCAGGCCCCAGTCCCAGTCCCGGTACCGCCGGGCCAGGCCTAAACAGTGGCGGGCCCGGGTCAGGCCGACCCATCCCAGTCCATCCCTAGTATTGAGTGTAAAGAATGAGGGGGCTAGAGTAAAAGAGAATTCATATAATAATTTTGCATGCTTGAGTCGCTTGACGCACATATTTGCAAAGGTTTTTAATTCATTTAAAAATTTGCCCATCCCTAGGGTTTGAATATCTTATCCATCATTAAGTAGCTGCTCATCCAAACCCAAAAAATACGTACTCAATTAAGGGTTAAATCGGTTTAGACCAAATTAAGTCATTTGATAGATCTAACTATCTAACTGATAATGAGTTTTTCAACAAAAAAGTCCACCATTTCATATGAGAGTATGGGTTGGACAGAGAAAGCATAGAAGCAGGTGATGCTGTGTTTATTACAACCAGACCCACCTGAACATCCTAGCTTTTGGTAAACAAAAACAAGGCAGCTGCTACAACAAGCTAGAAGATCTACAACTTCTTTTTGTACTCCATTGTTTTTTGTGGAGGGGAGGGGGCATGCCAGGCCAGCATGCTCTACATGAACACCAACCAGATGACTCAACTCATGCATCTTCAGTTTGAATACAAGTACAAAAATATTTCTCACACATTTCCTTTGTGCTCACACTCGACTTGCAAGTCAATATATTTTCTCTAGTGATGGGAAATGAAGAAAAGTATTGTTCAAAAGTTCAGAACTTTTTAGCATCCATATTTGCCCAAACATCGATCAATCGTTTATCAGGGCACAAGAAGACAGTTCACAATCGAAAGTAATTTCATGAAACTAATGAATTCTGAAGTAGATACAACATATACTTTGAAGTATATAAACACAAAACAATTTATGGAGTATAACATCACAACAATTCCTTTTAATCCTCTCAATGTCAATTGCACTTTTAGTACTCATCTTTGAATATTTCTACATTCAATCTTCGGATTTTCGTGACAAAACACTTATTAATATCCAAATTTGAACTTTTCCACTTTCAGTTGTTCGACAATTTAACACTGACACTTTTGGTACATGTCTTTAAATTTTGCCATAATAGTTAGAGCACAAAAATGTCATTGTCACAATGATTGAAGGACCAAAAGTGTCATTGCCATGACAGTCAGAGAACTAAGAGTGTAAAAACTTGAAAATATACTCCAAAAGTATCTCAATCACAACAGTCGAATGACATAAGTTTAAGACACACTACCCAAAAGCGTCATTGCCACCATAGTGAGTGAGTGGTTAAAGGTGGAGAAATGTCCAACAAAGCACAACGAGTGAAGCCTATGAGAGCCTGTATGTGCAAAACGAACCTTTTCTTACCTCTCTTAATTGGAAAAGGCATAACTGCCCTTTTCATTTCCACGAGGCATCACTCATCTGGCGCCCCTCGGTCTGTTTTTTTGTGCTTCCCTTTCTTGGATTTAACTCGACGTTTCTTTTCAATGGAATCAACCCAGACATAATCTGGTGGAATGTGGAAAGGGTCAATCTCCTCACAACTTTCACTGTCAATAGATTGTTGGCCGTTACTCCCTCTCACCCATGAAGAAATCCATGAGGAGTTTAAAGTCTCTGATTCTTTAGATTTGGCATCTTGGAAATGGGTGGGGCTGGAGAGGGGAGTTGAAAACTCTTCCAATAGAGGAAGTTCCTCGAATTTTGTAAATGTGACCACAACACGAATAGTTGGAACTAGAGGGATGGAAAGCTGCAATGCAATAATCATCATTTCATCATTACTTAACAAGATTTGCAATCACCTATAAGGCTGCAAGGACCAATTTGTTTCCGAAAACATACTTTGATGGACATTATTTTCTTATCTTGCTGGATTCTTTGAACTTTAAAAATTTGTTTGAAAAGGACAAAACGATGCCAAGTATGAAATAGATTTTCACATACAAAGTAGATTTCTTAGGGAAAGTTTCGATCTTGGAATCTGTTAGGTAAAGAGAAGATGGACGAAACTTTAAAGGGAATATTTTTTGACATTAGTTCAAACTTCAAACTCTTAGTTATTTCTATTAAATAAACACAAAGAAATCTAAATATGTGTGAAACATATATAAAAAGAATTAATCACATTTCATTTTCCTTTACATTTTCAAAGTAAAGCTAAACACTCCAAATAACTTCCCTTCACAATTGTTTTCCTTTCTTTAGAACTTTTGGGATCCAAATCTAGCCTTATTGACTAGGTTTTTACCAGCTTATGCAGGTGCCCAGCATTTCATAACATTTAGAAGGAAGAAAGAAAAAACAATTATATGTTTGATATTAACTTACCAGATAATATATAAATTTTACTTGTTGAAGAAGCAATAAAAGAACGATATATAAAAACATGTGGTGAATGATAGAAAAAAAAAAATATACCTTTACAGGAAACATACCATTGGGAAGCTTTGTGGTCAAAAGCTCCCTTATTCTCCTAACAGCTTTTACCTTGTTGGCTAATATATCAAGTAACGGCAGTAATTCTTCAGTCTTCAATGGAAAATCCGGTGTCAAACATAGAACAGGTCTTAATCCCTTCTTATACTCGCTCTCATTCTTTGACTCACTTGTTGTCCCTTGCTTCTTCTTTTTCCCGTTTTTATCCTTCCCTTTTTTTACTTCGCCACTACCCTCCTTAGAAACGCCTGATGGTAATAAATTATGGTTTTCCCCGTTCTTTGAATTTTTTTTAGTCGAACCAAACCAACTTTTCTTTTCTTTAGCAATACCATTGGATTCCTCACTATCAGCAAGCTGGTCAAAATGGCTACCCTTAAGTGCAGAATCTAACTGCATCCTTTCCTCAGCCGTGAGGTCATTTTCGCAATAATGAACGTCTCCTGCTTGCTCTTGAGAAAAGAGCTCCTCGTCTGTCATTGCACCCGGGACCCTCCTTGACTTCACACTAATCATCACGTTAAGCATATCATAAACCCTTGCTTTCCATTCACCAACCATTTCGGTCCTCTCTTGACGCCTCCAATTCAAAAGAGGGACCAATTCAGCTTGGGTCACGTCTATACCTGGCCTGTACATATTAGTTTGGGACATCAAAGACACTTCATGGGCAACTTCATCTTCTGTGGGCTGGATTCCAGCACCTTCAAAAGCATTCTTTATTACTTTCCCCTTATGGGAGAGAACTACCAACGATCCCGCAGGCAA